ATAACCACCATAGTCTGCCAGATCGTCCTTCATGGTAGCCTTTAATCCCCCTCCAGGAACCACACCTTTCTTCTTCTTTTTTGCTTTGCTTTGCTAAAGATGAAAAAGAGTTAATTCATGAGATTTTATCTAATTTGTATAGCAAATCTTGGAAACACCAAACACTCAAGTCCCAGAAAACTCTTGTTCTCTAAGGGAGATCCCCAACATAAGTCAACATGCGCCTATCTGTAAGCAGAAGATACGAATGGCACTCACGTTCTTTTATATTCCCACTTAAACGGTGGCTATGTGCTGTGGAGTCGGTTCCGACCCATAGCGACCCTGTGTACAGGGTTTCCGAAGCTGTAAATCTTTACAGGAGCAGAAAGCCTCATCTTTCTCCCGTGGAGCAGCTGGGAGTTTCAAACTGCTGCCCTTGCGGTTTGTAGCCCAATTCATACCAGAGCTCCGTTCCCACTTATGTGGTCGGGGTGACTTTCTTGACATTTAAGTGTCTTTCCATATTGAGAACAATAGTGTATTAGTGTATTTGTTGCTAAATGCTTTCTCAGTGTGAATACTCCACCCCACCCCCACATTAATAAAGTACATATTTCCCTGTTCAACTCATCTTACCTTTTCTTGCTTCTGTTTTTCACTGCAAAGCACAGTCAATGAATTGGTAATCTTTTTTAAGTCATCAATTTCCACTTTAAATCAAAAAACAGACAAATATATTACCACTCTAATTTATAAGCATTTTAGGGAATAAGAGGAAATATACACTTCCCCAAAAATTCTAAAAAGGAAAAAAAAAAGTTTTCCATCGTTAACTTCAGTAACTTGGAATGGCAATGAATCTTTTAAAAATATAAGACACGTAAGTATAGGACAGCTAGACTCACAAATTAGAACTCTATTTAAATAAAACAAATCTGGTGACAAAAATTTAACTTTATGATGATGACATGTAATCCCAAATATCATCAACCCAACTAAAGAAAACCAGGAATCTTCGTAGCTCACAGCGTTCCCATCCATGCCACATCCTCAACAGTCTGTGAGCGCAGCTGAAGGAAAACTGAAGAACTCTTAAACCCACACAAGACAAACCCCTTTGGTGTCTCCATTTTCTAGCACAGAAACTAGGATGAAAACAGTGGGTACTTTGGAAACCTCAGTGTATTCGCATGAGGGACTGGTAACAGGCTTATAAAAATAGGAAGCTGGAAACACACCAGTTTTTAGCTACCAAAAACTTTTCAGGAGCTTGCTCAGAGAGCACCTCCAGAAACAGGAAAATTAGTACATGTGTACAACAAAAGATCCAAGTATGAGAATATTAAGAACCCCCAATTTAGGGATAATTTCTTAAGGAAGCACAATTTCAGATTCATAACATAGGATTCTTTTCTGAATCTTAAAAACTGCAAATCGTAGCAAAACCAGTCCTTTGCACATTCATGCTGCCTCCCCTCCCCCACCCCTCTAGCTGTCACTCTCATATACCAGGCCCTGAAAAGTCTGACCCTCCTCAAGGCGTGGCACCAGTTTCGAAAGCTAGTCTCGCCCAACTTTAAAATTCAGTACACTCAGTCAGCACCAGCTCCGCAAAACACTACTTCCTAGCCTCTATCAGATACAGTAGGACAGAGTGTACAATTCCACAATTTGAAACAGAACAGACACAAACCAGAGACCAAAGTGTGGATGTGTGGAGGAATCGATACAAATAGGGTAGAGTTTCTGTTTGGGGGTAATGAAAACATCTGGAAACAGTGGTGAGTATAATGAATGTATCACTTAATTGCACTTAAGAGTTCTGGTGTGGTGCTGTGGGCTAATGTGATGGACAACAAAGTCAGCCTGAACTGCAAGGCCTGTGGTTCAAGAAGTCAGTCGCTCCTTGGAAACCCTATACAGGGTCACTATGGGTCAAAACCAACTTGATGGCAATTAACAACAAATTATACTTAAAAATGGTTAAAATGTCAAGGAGCAAATTTTATGTAACTTTGCCATTAAAAAAAAAAAAAAGGACTACATAAAAAGAACAAGCGAGTACATCATTAGCTATTGTGCTTGCAAGCCCATATGTATGGGAAGCCACTGTAAAACATAATTAACAAGACATCCTAAAACATACAGTCAACCTCACTGTGTATTTTCAGAAAAGCATTCCCAAGGTAATTACTAAATAACAAATCCTGAGTCTACCTTACAGCGTCCAAAATAGCTTCCATCCTCCTAAGTGTAGTATGTTCCTATTAAAATCTACCCAGAAAGGTTAGAAATACTTACATGAAATACACACATCCCGAACTAAGGCTTCCAAAAAGCTGGCATAATATAGTGACTTTTCATATTGTGTAATTTTATCCTTTAGTAACTTCCCAAACTCTGTGAAGTCATCTCTTGAAGATGGGTTCATAGCATCTAGTCCATAAACTGTATTATTAACACCTGTGAGATGAAGAAACAATGAAAATGTTTAAAGATTAAAAAGTTATAAACCAAATAGCTATCTTACGCAGGGTCTATTTAATTAGAATTCTTTGGGCTTCGCAGAATCCATGGGGCCTGTGAATTTGAATGAGAAACCAATTTACACCTTTATTTTTCACTTAACCTCTAACATTTCCTCTATTTTGGTAACAGAAAACAAATCACCAATAGAGATTATAGATATTTTCCTATCACATTATAGTTGTTGCCAATATCTCAAAATAATATTCACAGTCAGTACTTTTAAACTACATCACTTAATAGACCCACCCAGGAGGAGCACAGTGGCTCTGTAGGATAAAGCACTGGACTGCGAGTCAAAGGTTCGAGCCCACCAGCCACTCAAGGGGGAAAAGATGAGACTTTCTGCTTTCACAAAGATTTTAAAAGCCTCAGAAACCATATACAGGGTTCTCTAGGAGCTGGAACTGACTTAACATTTTAACAGCAACAACAACATTAGACCCACCACTGGATCTTTAGGCAGCTAAGGAAACCAAAAGATACATATATTTTTGCACAAGGATGTCAACTGGAATATTATAGAGGCATATGCATTAAGTCCTGGTGTGGCGCTGTAGAATAAGCACTTGACCACAATGTTGGTTTGAACTGCAGGGTCAGCGATTCCTTGGAAAACACTATACAGGGTGGCTATGAGTTGAAACTGACCCAACAGCTCTAACAACAAGCCTACACTTACTGCATCACAAATTCTACTAGTTCTATCTGTTTCAATATAACAGGTTTCCTTTATAACTAAAATCCTATGTATTTTATGCATTTAAAAACATTAAGAATCAGGACTGATTGTGAGGGCAAACTGCCAAAGGAGTCCATGACACAAAAGGGATGCTCTTAATCAAAGGGTTTGTCCAAGAACCACCCAGAGTAAAGGAGGAAAAAGCATAGGAAGCAAAATGCATCCTGGGAAGTATCCACTAATTCTAGAAGCTAAGTATGCGTAAACCATATGTTAAATCCCAAGAGGAAGATTCATCTGACTTAAAAGGGTTCTTCAACAGCAAGTAAATGTGTTAACAGGATCACTGTCTCAGCATTTATGAAAAACACATTAAAATGCTATTAACCCAACAATGACACTATGAATGAGTAGTATTTTTGCCTTTTTTCTATAACTTGTACCACCCTATACCAGGCTTTAGGCACACTGCATAAACCTTTCTCTTTAATACACCATGGGCAGCTTTTACCATCCTGTGAAGACAGGATGGTAAAAGACACACTACCCACAATGGTACACACAAGAACACCCACAACAACTCAAGATTGCTAGAGGCCCACTGAGAGAGACAGATTCCCATGGAAAGCAGAATGGCCACTCCAATCAGCCTGCCTTATCTGCTAAGGGAGAAGGCAGTTTGGGGAGGTTGGGAAGCAGGGTCTAGTTCTTAGATTTCAACTTTAAAGTTACGTAAATGTTTTTCACCTAACAACAAACTTAGTTAAATGAGAGAATTTCACTTACCTGGTTAGGTCTCTTACTCTACCTTTCTATGTCAAGCAGTCCCTCCCCAGGAATACTCTCAATTTATTACACATCTAGGATTCTGAACATGTCTTTTATCTCATTCACTAATCACAGCTGTAGGCATGGCACACACATAAATACAGGCATGTAAGAGACAAGGGCTCAAGTGACCTCATATGACCATAAGACGACAAAGTCAAAATGGAGTGCCCCCACCTCACCTGCAACCTGGTGTCCAATTCTTATCCAGACTTAAAAGATAACAGGACATACCTACAGTTGGTCCAATATGTAAATTTCAAAGTTACAACTGATTAAAATATTACTGAGAAAATCCAAAATATACACAAAGAGATTAAAAAGCTGCTTTCTAGTAGGGATTTCCTGTTTATGGTCATGGGAAATTTGGCACTGGTTTTGCATGATGAGTATACAATGATATTTCAACAAATTCTAATATTGAAATTAGTTGGTACCAGTTTCCGCCCTCCGCCCCCCCGCCTCCCAAAAAAAAAACTAAATTGTTTTCTGAATTTTCCTAGCCAGTAAGACTTCTAGAGTTTTTATCTGCAACTATTCACTATTTCACTGTGGTCATATCCCAAACTTACCAAAAGTTTCTTTTGCTAATTCAAGGTCTGCCTCTTCCTGTAATTTCTTTAGTCGCAGTTTGTCTGCTAGTTGTTCTTCTGGTGTTAGCACTTTAGTTTCTTCAGGTTCTTCTAACTAAAATGAGACAGACATGAAGCGAGTTTTTAAAGGGGTGCAATTATGATGGACCCCAGGACATTTCTGTGTTGTACCAATTTTTTTTTTAATGTTCATTGTTGTTAAGTGCCGTCAAGTCAGTTGTGACTCATAGAGACCCTGTATAGGGTTTCTGAGGAGTGGTTGGTGACTGTGAACCTTGAAGGTTCAAACCAACCATGTGGTCCAGTGCTTATCCTACAGCACCACACCAGGACTACAGTTTTGTTTTTTTAAATAGACCCATATAATTATAAATAACAAATTTTAATAAGTGTTATATTTCAGGTCTTCTTAATAACTTGCACTTAACAATCCTCACAGAAACTTATGAAGTGGATACTACTACTGTCCCAGTTTTACAAATAAAAACCTGAGGCACAAAGAGGTACAGTAATCTGCCCAAGGTAACACCACTGGTAATGCAGCAGAGCTAAGATTTAAACCCAGGAAAACTGGGTTTATTTCAATAACCTTTCTGTTATATTTTCAACAAGGTGAAAATACCACTCTCAATAGTACTGTAGATTAGAACAATCAAGTATTTTTGCACACGTTCTGTCAATTTGAATATCAGTCATACAGATAATGAATGCGTCCTTCAATGTCTGAACAACAGCTGGTAACATTATGTCTGCTGTGGTCCCATAAGACTTTTTCAAGCACTGAACTGCTAACTGCAATGTCAGTGGTTCAAACTCACTAGCCACTTCTCATAAACCCTATACAGAGACAATATGAGTTGCAACCGACTCACTGGCAATAGCAGCAATGGGTTTAAAGACCCTAAACACAGACTTTTGCAGCACTGGACCATACACGGCAAACAGGCAGGTGAAACAGAGGACCTGGCTCTGAATATGGGCTCTTGGGCTTTGTTTGGTGGGCAGGCCCTGTTGCTCCAGCATCTGCCAGCAGCAGCAGTGATCAGGACAACTGGACACAGGCTCCGGTAAGGTTTTAATATGGTGTCAGCTAACGTCCGATCACATACTGTCCAATTTCACAGAATCTATCAGGAGCCCTGATGTGGCACTGTGGGTTAATGCGCCAGATAGCAAAGCCGTTCCAACTGAAAGGTCAGTGGTTCAAGCTCACCAGCTAGCTCCTCGGAAACCCTAAACAGGGTCGCTATGGGTCGGAATCAACTCGATGGCACATAACAACATCCATGGATGTTAAACAACATATACCTATAATTTCAAATAATGAAAGACAACTAAATGTCCAAACTGCTTGGTCAGTAGTTCAAACCCACCAGAGTCTGTAGGAGAAAGAAAAGGCTGTCTATACCCATAAAACTTTAGTTTTAGAAACCCTATATAGAATCAGAACTGTCTCAATGGTAGTGGGTTTGTATTTGGTAAATGTTCAAACAGAACGGTTAAATTATGGTACACTCACATGACAAAATGCCAGATAGACATGGTCTTTTCACTTGTTTATATTAGACTCTACTGTAAATATTAGTACAATAACAAAGTTTAAAATACACACTCTTAGAAGCTGCTACTTATTTCTCAGTTACACTTTTCAGTTAATACTTTAGTGTATACACTTTTCTATATACTGTGAAATAATTTTCTTCAAGAATATACAAATAAATTTTAATTTTATTATGAGGAAAAATTCCTCAGTAAAACTCACTGGAAAAAAGAGTGAAGGGAATCTTTACCCTTCATGGATATTCATGCCTGTGTAGTTTGAAGATTTTGACTCAGAAGTCTACTTCTAAAACAGATATTTTACTTCTGATGGAGAAGATGTGAGAGAGAAAGAAACAAAGGGTATTTATGACAAGTTAGAAAATTTAGAAAGGGAAATTTCTCGACTTGTAGTCCTGCAGAACATCATTATTTATTTCCTGCATCAAAACCAAAACCACTGCTTGGCCTAAAATAAACTCAAATTAAGTACACTCAAATTAAGCTATTTTCATTAGGAAAAACAATATATAACAAAATAAGTCTATAACTTCAACAACCAAGAAACTAGCCAGTTAATAACAACTCCTTAGAGTTATAAGTTTCTATTGCTTGTTCCAATCATAAAAACAATACATGCAGTATATATAAATAAAAAATTTTAAATACAGTACAACCTAATACATGCAGTATATATAAATAAAAATTTTTAAATACAGTACAACCCCACATGGAGTCCTGGTGTGGTGCTGCAGGATAATGCACTGAAATGCAAGGTCAGTTTGAACCACTGACCCTGAAGTTCAAACTCACTAGCTGTTCCTCTTAAACCCTACACAGGGCCACTATGAGTCATAACTCATTCAACCTCACATGGAGGGCAATTTAGGAACATTTATCAAGACTAAAAATATGATTCACCTTTTGATCAGAAATCTCATATTTGGAGACTTAGAAATGCCACACATAATACGTTATTCACTGAACAATTTTTTATCAAGGAAAAGAATTTGAGAAAAAAAATCCAACTGTCCATGACTATGGTACACCTAAGAGAATGCAATGTTATACAGCTCTAAGAATTATTATGTTAATATATTAGCTTGCCATAATGTAGTAGCATTCATATTGTTATGATGTTACAAGATATGCCAATGGTGTTTCAAAACTGAGCAGAATCACGCCATGGTCGGCAGGTTTCAGTGGAATTTCCAGATTAAGAACACACTAGGAAGAAGGAATAGGCAATCATTTCTGAAGGAGTAGTCACTGAAAACCTTATGACCAGCAACACTGTCACATTTAGTGCTAAAAAATGAACCTCTCAGAAGGTACTCAAAATTCAACTGAGCAAACAACTGACTCCTTAAAGTAGAGTCAACCTTAATGACGTGAATGGAATAAAGCTTTCATTTGATAAAACATCAGTCATGTAGTATAACAAAATGTGCAAAGACCTTAAGTTAGATGGTAGTGGGGGGGCGGTGGTTATATGCTGTGGTGTTGCTTCCAACTCACAGCGACCCTGTATAGGGATTCTGAGGCTGTAAATCTTTACGGGAGCAGAAAGCCTCATCTTTCTCACACGGAACAGCTGGCAGTTTAAAACTGCTAACCTTGATGTTAGCAGTCCGATTCATAACCACTATGCTATGGGGCACCACTCAGAACGAGAAGAAACAGATGCAAATAACCATTAATAATCAGAACGTGTTAAGTATGAATCTAGGAACATGGGAAGTTTTCAAAAACAAAATGGAACACATAAAGACCAACATCCTGGGTGTTCATGAGCTGAAATTGTCAGATACTGGCCATTTTGAATCTGACAATAATCTGGTTACTATGTTGAGAATGACAAATTCAAGAGGAATGGTGTTACATTCATTATCATCAAAACAAATTTCAAGGTCTTGAAATTTAATATTTCTATGACACTATGGCTTAATGAACTGGACTGCAAAGTTGGTTTGAACCACAAGGTCAGAGATTCAAGCTCACCAGCCACTCCTTGAAAACTCTATACAGGGTCGCTATGGGTTGGAACCAACTTGACAACCCTTAGCAACATGATGATAGGATAATTAATATCTGTTCACGTATAAGGAAGACTGTTAATACTTATTAGTGAAACTTACAAACTAACCACCAAAGTCAATGATGAACAAATTGAATTCTTATAACCTCTACATTCTGAAATTGATTGAACTTGCAATCCAGATGCATTAATAATTACTAGTGATTGGAATGTGAACGATGGAAACAAAGAAAGGAACCATAGTTGGAAAATATGGTCTTGGTGACAGAACAATGCTGGAGACCACATGATACAATTTTGCAGGCCCAACAATGTTTTCATTGTAAACACCTTTTTTCCAACAACATAAACGGCAACTATACATTTGTACTAAAATGTATAGTTGCCGTTTATGTTGTTGGAAAAAAGGAGCTCTGGTAGCGTAGTGGTTACGAATCGGGCTGTGAACCTTAAGGTCAGCGGTTCGAAACTACCAGCCGCTCCGCGGGAGAAAGATGAGGCTTTCTACTCCCGTAAGGATTTACACCCTCGGAAACCCTGTACAGGGTCGCTATGGGTCGGAACCGACTCGACGGCACTCAACAACAACAACAATACATTTGTACTAAGGAGCTCTGGGAGTGTAGTGGTTACGAATCGGGCTGCAAACCACAAGGTCAGCAGTTCAAAACTACCAGCTGCTCCATGGGAGAAAGATGAGGCTTTCTGCTCCTGTAAAGATTTACAGCCTCGGAAACCCTGTACAGGGCGGCTACAGGTTGGAACTGACAACAACAACATACATGTGGACTTTGCTAAGATGGAATACACAGAAATCAAATTAACTACATTTGTGGGGAAAAGGTGATGGAGAAGGTCTATATCGTCAGTCAAAACAAGGCCAGAGGCAGACTGGTACAGATCATCAATTGTTCATATTCCAGTTTAGGATGAAGCTGAAGAAAATGAAAACAAGCCCAAAAGAGCCAAAATACAACCTTGAGTACATCCCACCTGAACTTAGAAAGACCATCTCAAGTACAGATTTGACTCCTTAGATACTAATGACCAAAGACCAGAATTGTGGGAAGATGACAAAAACATCATAAAGAAAGCAAACGTCATTTAAAAGACAGAAAGGAAAGATCAAAATGGATGTCAGAAGAGACTCTGAAACTTGCTCTTGAGCATACAGAAGCTAAGACAAAGTCAAAGAGCTAAACAGAAAATTTCAAAGGTCAGCTCAAGAAGAGAAAGTCAAAAGTAAGATGCTAAGGCCTAGAGTAAGAAAACCAAAAGGGGAGAAGACACTCAGCAATTCTAAAGCTGAAACAACTGAAGAAAAAAATTCAAGCCTTGAATTGTCAAATTAAAGGGACTCCTGCTGATCTAAGGTGTGACAATTTGAGCATCAAAAAGAAAACTAGTATATCTGAGTAAAATACAGAGTACATAAAAACATAAGTGTATAAATTTATTCAAAAAATAAAAAATCCTAAATCCCTTTTTTCACTGCTAGACGTTACAACATAAACCACTCCTCTGAAAACTGGTCATTAAAATCACCATTTTACAATCCATAATAAGCAGGCAGTGATCATGATGTAAAACTGAATTGTTGTTGTTAAGTGCCGTCGAGTCAGTTCCGACCCATAGCGACCCTGTACAGGGTTTAAAACTGAATTACGTGGGGAAAGATGTAATTTTATAATGGAAAGATGAGATCAGGCTGTCGTCACACCTTAACCCAGCAATCAATTTTAACATCACTAATAGGATGGAGTCCTGGTGTGGCGCTGTGGGTTAATGCACCAGATTGCAAAGCTGTTTGAACTGCAAGGTTGGTGGTTCAATCTCACCACTGCTCCTCGGAAACCGTACACAGGGCCATTATGGATAGGAACCAACTCGATGGCACTTAACAATAACAACAATTAATAGGACAAGGAGCTCTAGTAGCACAGTGGTTATGAGTTGGGCTGCTAACCTCAAGGTGAGCAGTTTGACACTACCAGCTGTTCTGTGGGAGAAAGATGAGAACTTTCTGCTCCTGTAAAGATTCACAGCTTCAGAAACCATATTCAGGGTTGCTATAAGTCAGAATTGACTCCAAGGCACATAACCACCATTACAGACATTACATAACTCCTAAGTGATTCAATATGAAGTACAAAGCATTAACTCTTACAGTATTCTGGCCAAAATTATTCATTAACTTGGATGTTTTTGATTCTGAAATTTTAGATTTCTAACATTATCAGCAGTTAAATCAATGAAGAATCAATGAGACAAAAAGAAACAGGGAATAGAAGCAAATACTATTAAATGATGATGCATGGAGGGGACTGAAATCACTGCAATGAAACACAAATAAGATAGGATGAGTGCAACACTGATGTTTGCCCATGTAAAGTATCACTCAACTCACAGTAAAAGCTTTAATAAGAATAAAACCTCTGGGCAAAAATGCAACAACAAAAAACACTGGACTGTGAACTATAAGGTTGGCAAGTAAAAAAGCCAATGAGACAAATCTAGAAGGTGGGATGTTCTATAAGAAAGAGACCAGAGACACTAGGAAACTTAGGATACATTAATAACCAAATGCAATGTATGATCCTTTTTAAATTTTATGTAACAGATGGGACAATCAGAAATATATATATAAAATGAGTATTAGATGAAACTTAAAAGTTGTTCATTATATTAGGTGTGATAACTACTTTAAATCATGTGAGAAATACCTTTAGTTTTTAAGAGATGCATAGTGAATCATTTAGAAGTGAAATGTCACTATGCTTGTTTTATATATATATATATACTTGGTTTATCTTTTTAGAGAAAAAAATAAAATATGGCAAAAGATGTTAAAATTGTTACATTTTGGTGCTATGTGTATGATTATCCTTAAGGCTATTTTGTTTTTTGAAATTTTTCTTAATAAAAACTGAAGAAAACCTAAAAGCTCTCTATGACTTAAATGTTAAAGAGCAGGGTGGAAACTGTGTGTAACAAAGAGGATTAAGAATCTATAGTTTACCCTTTGGTTGGTTGATGATGCATGGAGGGTATTATAACCATGGCAATGTAACGATATACGATAGGATGAACGTAAAACTAATGTTCTCCCATGTAAACTATCACATAATTCACAATAAAACAGTTAAGAAATATATATATATATAACTGTTTTTGACATAAAGCTATCCTTGGAAACACAAACACACACAAAATTTATGTGTGGATTAGAGGGAAAGAAAACTGGATAGACTTAAGTGATGGGTTTGTCTGTTTTAATTTTTGAAATTTAAAATTAAATACATTTTCCCCCAGGTTTATTATTTATTGTACAAATTTTCACTTGATAAGCTGATATTAGTTTCTCCAGGCATGAGAACTTAGCAGTTAAGATCCAGCTTTCAAACCTAAAGTTTTTTTTAGACCTTAATTTGAAGTATAGGACAAGCAAAGCAATGCCCTTGTATGTGGCCAATATATAATTCATTCTTCCTGTAAGCAGGTAAGAGTTGAAACATTTTTTTATACCTGTGAACTGGAACTGAGCATCAATTTCTGGACCTGTCATGATTTCAATCTTGCCAAAGCCAAATTCCACAGCCTTACCCTTCAAGATCCTTCAACTCCTCAGCCCAACCAGGAAAATAAATGCATTTTCTATTTTAAAAATAAGTACAATATTCTTCACTCTGCTCCACATAATAAAAGAATAAAATCACATACTACACGGCAGAAAAATGGACACTTTGTATTTGGCTCGGTACAGGCCAGAATCCATCATGACTACTTGAGAACGTTTTAGTGGTAAAACTTGAAATTCATTTTAGTATATAAAGCTTCTGGGTTCTGTTTGTGCAAAGAAATGTATAAATTCAGTTTGTTTGAGGATTCACCTACCTGATAGGGTCTATTCGTTTACAGTCTTCACAGAGTCCTTCAAATTGTACTATTTGCTGCCTATTATATACTATATCACTATTGATGTGAAGATTCTGTATTTTAAAAAATGAACAGTACCTGAACTAGTTACCATCAAGTCCGCCCCAATTTATTGTGACCCCACCCATGTGTATCAGAGAAGAACTCTGTTCAGAGGATTGCCAATGGCTGACAGAAATAAACTGACAGGCCTTTCTTCTGCAGTACTTCTAGCTGAACTTGAAACCCTAAACCTTTCAGTTAGCAGCTGAGCACATTAACTGTTTGCACAAGTCCAAATATTACTTACCCTCTTTTTAATTTCTTCTTGCCTTTTCTTTTGTTGCCGTTCTTTTTCTTTGATCTTCTCTGCTATTTTTTTCTTTTCTGAAACTTTTACTTCTAGAAGAAACATTTTAATCACAGTTATGACTCTTTTCCAGCTTATAGATGAGACAGGCATGATACACTTCAAGAGACCAAACCTCTCCCCAGTTCTAATTTTATTTGGTGATTTCCTGGCAAGTAAAAAAAAAATAGGCAAGTTCTAGGGCTCATCCTTCCTCTTCTCTAATCTGTTTCATAAAACCCAAATATCTCCATTCATTATTTCTCCAGCTCTTTAGACTGAATTTAGCTCACTTAACTATGATGGCACTCTTTACTCTCCTGTTCTCTACCACCCAGCATACAAAGAAAAAAGCAAGACTCAAAAAACCTAATTATGTTTGGGGGAATTGAAAATAGACACAGGGGGCGAGATTATGATATACAAAGGGCATTTGGTTTCCAAATACCCCAAATTAAAATTTATAACCATTTAGTTGGAAATTCTGGGGTGGCACTGTAGGATAAGTACTGGACTGCTAACCACAAGGGCAGTAGTTCAAACCTACAATCCGCTCCTCAAAAACTCTTAATATATAGGGTCTATATAAGTTAGAACCAATTCAATGGCAAGTAACAACCCTTTTTTCATTTGTCTTAACGTATGTACCAGGTGCTAAGATACAACTCCCAAAACGGCTCACCTGGCTTTTCTTCAGTTTCTTCTTTCTTTTCTTCATCATCATCATCCCAGTTATCCTAAAGAAAAGGACCTCCATTAATAATCTTGCCTGGTTAGTTTTCCAAATAAACTTTATTATCAAGTTGTCAAATTTTATGAAATTTGGTATTTGCATAGGGTCGCTATGAGTCAGTACCAACTCGATGGCACCTAACAACAACAAAATTAGGATTGCATGAAATTTATAAACCAATGTGGGGAAAGCTGACATCTTTATAATGATGAGCCATCCTATTCAAGAACAATGCTCCCTTTCCCATTTGTTCAAAGCTACTTTTGTGTCTTTCAAGAGTGTTTGAAATCTGTGCACTTCTCATTAGTTTTATTCCTAAATATTTACTCTTCTGTGTGGCTATTATAAATAGGATTCTTCCTATTATGATATCCTCTGATTATTTGTGTATAAGGCTACTGGGTTTTGTTTGTTAATTTTATATCCAGCTACCTTATTATATGTATTTATCATTTTCTTTTATCATGGATTCTCCAATTTTCCAAATATACTATGAAACATTTGCAAACATTTTTACTTATTCTTATGCCTCTATGATTGATTTTTATTATCTAATTGTACTGGTTAATACCTCTGGTACCATGTTAAATATCAGCAGAGAGAAAGAACATCCTTATCTTACCATCGTATTAGTGGAAAAGCCTCTTAACATTTTTCATAAAGTATCATGCCCACCCCTCACTAAATTTATATAGTAAGACTTATCAATCTTTTCTTTTATTGAATCTAGAATTTGAGACAAAGTTTTCTTACACTAAAGAATCCATACATTTTCTTCTAGAACTTACATGATTTCACTGTTTTATTCATTTTAGGGGTCCTGATCCATTTGGAGTTCTGTCTTGTGTATGGGGGTGAAATACACATATAACTTTATCTTTCTCCCAATGGCTACCCAACTGTCACAACGAGCTCTGATAGCATAGTGGTTAGGAATCAGGCTGCTAACTTCACAGTCAGCTGTTCAAAACTACCAGCTGTTCCGTGGGAGAAAGATGGGGCTTTCTGTTCCCGTAAAGGTTTACTGCCTTGAAAACCCTGTAGAGGGTTGCTATGAGTCGTAACCAACTCCACGGGCACATAACAACAACAACCACCCAAGTGTCACAGAACCTTTTATTAGAAAGCCCATAAAAAAGCTTCTCCATTAACAGTTAAAACAGAAGACAACCAAAACAAAACAGCCTCTCTTTAAAGTGACTCATAGTTGCTTTAAATCAAAAGTTGAGGGGATATTATACTTCTTACTTCCCAAATGTAAAAGGACCTATACAATTCTGGACAATGAATTTAATCTATATAATATTTAAGTCAATACTAAAGAGCAACCAAATGTCAATCAAAATCTTCATGGAACCTATTCCCCAACTGGGGCACTTCAAGGTGATTAATAGTCTTCAGAGTTACACCTGTGCATAACTCAGTCCCTGAGCAACTCCTGAGCTAAAAATAAAGTACCGATCAACCAAAAAAATGTCTAAGGCTCCAAAGAATTTGGATGGTTCAAGTCTATTATGGGAAGATACTTTTACTTCTGTATCTGAAGAGGGCTTTAATTTCAAGTCAGTCTGGCAACTGTCTCAGCAACCACTATGACACATCATTTGAAGCCAAGCCTTACGATGACATATGCAAACCATGAGTCCCCGATGCTACTCGAAGAGGGAGAGGCTGACTAATGTGCCATAACTATGACACCAAGCTTCTAGTTTTATTAATAAGATAGATCATAAACCTGAAGTATATAAACTAATCAAGAATTCTTACAGATAAAAATCTGTAACTCCGCCAAAGAAATTAAAAATCTAACATTCTAATTAAGACTATATAGCAGAGTTGCTACCAAGTCTGCAAGTAGGATGGGGAACTTTGTATATAAGTAAGGTATAAAGGTAAGGTGATTACTTTGTATATAAGTAATCACCTTACCTTGACAATTTTCACAGGTTTAAAGCAAACTAGCTTGCCATTATTTGAACATTTAAAATAGAAGAGTTAGAAACCAACTGTACTGCCTTGCTGTTTTGCTTGTGCTTAGATCAATACACCACAACACAAAAGGAAACAAAAAAAAAAAAAAAAAAAACATAAAAGTTAACTACCAGGCATTTGGACTCCTGGTGTGGCACTGTAGGAGAAGTGCTAGACTGTAAACCACAAGATTGGCAGTTCAAACCCACCAGTTGCTTCTTGGAAACTCTATACAGAATTCGCTATGATTCAGAACTGATTCCATGGCATTTAACAACAAAACAATCCAGGCATTTGTTGTTTTCACAGAATGTAAGCGGCTGGGTGTATGAGTAACAATGCTATTTAAGCAGTGCTCAGACAGGAGGACCATCTGCTTGCTTCTAACTCATACTAACCATGTATGCAAACTAAAACTGCTCCATGGGGTTTCAAGACTGTGACCTATCAGGAACGGATCACTAGGCCCAATTTCAAGGTGCCTACGAGTGGGCTCAAACAACCAGCCTTTTGACTTAACTGTTTGCACCACTCAGGAACTCCCTCTGCTAATAATAATCCAAACACCCAAACCAGTGGCCACTGATTCAATTCTAACTTAAAGTGACCCTAAGGACACAGTAGAACTTCCCATAGAAGTTCTAAGGTTGTAATCTTTATGGAAGACTGTTACATTATATCTCTCACCCGTTGACCTTTTGGTGCCACCAGGGTTCCTTCTAATAACAAGATCCCAAATCAGACCAAACCCACTGCTACTATGTCAATTTCAACTCATAGCAACCCTAGATAAGGATTCATGTAAATATTTACATAAGCAGACTGCCTCATCTTTCTCCCAAGAAGCAGTGGGCAGATTTGAACCACTGACCTTTTGGTTAGCAGTCCAATGTCTAAGCAACAAGGGCTCCTTTCTAATAACAATTGGTGGTTGTGGTTGTGTGCCACCAAGTTGATTCCAACTCAGAGTGACCCTGTACAGGGTTTCCGAGGCAGTAAATCTTTACAGGAGCAGAAAGCCTCATCTTTCTCCCATAAAGATTTGAACCACTCACCTTACAGTTAGCAGCCCAGCTCATATCCCACTACGCTACCAGAGCTGCTTCTAATAACAATGTTGTTGTTAAGTACTGACAGCTTGTTGTCCATCAGGAACTCTTAAGGAGCCCTTAGTAGTACAAAGGCTAAGTGCTCAGCTGGTAACCAAAAGGTCAACAGTTTGAACCCATCAGCCTCCACAGGAGGAAACACCTGGTGATGGGCTTCTGTAAAGACTAAAGCCTAAGAAACACTACATGGAAGTTCTCTTCTGTCATACAGGGTCACTGAGTGGAAAATGACTGGTGGCACACAACATAGTCAACCTTAATAATATTCCTCACAATAAATAATGTTTTGCCCCCATTTTACAGCTAAGGAACCTGAAGCCCACAGATAATCTCAATCTCGGTGGGTTGGTGGGTGGGAACTGTGGTGAATGGGCCAAAGTTCCTTTAAAGTGTCATAATAAACATGACTTGTCTAGGTGGTCCTGAAGTTTTAAATAATTAACATCTAAGCAAGTCCTTCCCTATGCAGGATCCCCACCAAAATCCATTCTTTCTGTTATGAGCTGCCCAGGGATCACAGGGGTTGCCATCAAAGAGAAGGATTATGCAGCATATTTTAAAAAGCTATGTCCAGCTTCAGCTGTATCAGTTATCCACCTTCAAACCTCAAATTGCCTGTGTTGGTCTGCTACTAATTACTAAAAATGAGTAATTCCATCCCAATATTCCTCATATAAAGATACAACCAAAGAACATTTTTGTTCAAAGATGATCCTCAATTCCTCTCCCAGTAAATCTGCACCCCATCCCACCAACTCCATGGCCCACCTCTAGTCCTTTCCCTAGCTTCCTCTTCAAAGCATAAATCTTATTCCAGACAGTTAAATTGCAGACAAAAGGAGATTTCCTAGAAAACCTCCACTCCACCAAAGAATGGTTTCTGCATCAGTCGTGGTTCCTATCAACAAATCATGGGAACAGTCATGATATATGCTCCTTGGTTCATAAAAAGATCATGAAAGGTAAGCCTTGCCTGTCACTTCACCCCATAATACCCACAAATGTTCCCTCAAGTTGCTACCACACTGGTACCAAGACCCTGAAGAAGGGAACATAGTGGCATCAACTAAGAGGCTATCAACACTTCTAAACAGCTATGATCAAAAAGCAGGAGGTCACATAGCTTTCTCCAAAAACTTAGATTGTTATTTCCTTAGTTATAAAATCAGCAGGTACTCAAAAATAAATAAATATAAGGTAGACTGCTACACTGGTTCAGAACAAACAAAAAAATCAACTAAATTTTCTTTAAACCCCAGGACTCTGTATATGTTGGCAATAAATTCAGATAAAATACAAAGGATTCCTAGAAAAACATCTAAAACTAATACAAAATGGTATTGTTGTTACTATCAAGTCAGTTCTGACTTACAGCAACCCTGTATAGGGTTTCTGAGCAACTGGTGGATTTGAACTGCCAACCTTGTGGTTCATGTCTAGTGCTGATTCTTCAGCTCCACACCAGATGTCCAGGCTTACTGGTTAGATAGGAACCCCAACTCTATAGTCACTGGTAACTCTTAGGGTCTGCAACAGAACTTACCCTATGACATAATTATCAGTCAAGCAATATATAGGTGCATAGGGAGGACAACACTACTGCCATACACACACCATAGAATGGTCAATCAAAACGACAGCATGTAGCCTCAACGGCTTGATAATCAGAACTCGACTAGAGGAAGATAAGAAAACAATTTTTGATAAAGGAAATGAATATAAATTGATACAATTTGATGAACTTGACCTATACTTACGGATGTGGTGGTGGTGGTGGTGTGCTGTGGAGTCGGTTCCGACTCACAGCAACCCTATACAGGGTTTCCAAGGCTGTATATCTTCATGGGAGCAGAAAGCCTTTAACTTTCCCCCACAGAACCACTAGTAGTTTCACACTGCTGACCCTGAGGTTAGCAGTCTGATT